TAAATGATTGAAAAAAGAAAAGGTTATCGAAGGTATCACGAAAATATAAAAGCCAACACGTTTACCTTTATAATGCATTGGAAGTATAGATAAGTCGGTTTATGTTTTGACGCAGTACTCATCTTATTCGCAGCTACCAAAAGCTGCGGTATTTACGCGTAAGCAGAATAACTCGTAGTGCTATGTAAAGCTTAAAGGTACTACTTCAACATGAAGATGCAACAGTTTGATATAATAGAGTAAACGTCAAATCAATGACACCTTTTCCTGGAAAGGTCGATAGAGGCTCATTCGTACGCCTAGCAACTTAACCTAACAACTAATTTTTGGATTTATTTGTGAAATAATTTGTTATGAAATCTGTTAGTTGTGCTCGATTTAACTAATTGTTCTTTGCTGTGGAAAGATGTAGCGAGGAAAGAATCTGTCTCAAGTTCTTAATTGCAATTGTAATTTGATCAAGGAAAGCGTTGAAATGGCTTGGGCTCCTTTGGACTAACGATAAAATCGTAAGGATTCAAGGAATACCTTGAAATTCAAGTATCAGTTGCGTTTCGCTCCCAATGCCGTCATTTCTCTTTCTTCCCCTACAACAGCTGTTGATCCGAAAGTGAAGATATGTCAAGCACCATAATTCGAAAGGGCGAATTACTACGACTGCGGCCATTGAACGGAATTCGAAGAATCGATTTAAAGCAAATAAATTAAGATGTGATTTAAGTGTATCAGTTCAAACATCCAAAGGTAAACTTTAAAGTTATTATCAAAACTTTGATTATTATGTAAAAATAAATGAAAGCATTATAGACGGGCAAAGACGATCATTCAATACTCTATACCTTATTTAAGTATTCATTCATTTTCGTGGTAACACATCGATGATTATGCTTTATTTTCAGGCAAGAGTGTGAGGCTGGATACAATAAATTGAGCTGAGTAATTCAAATTTGGTGCAGCTGGTTTTCCCCAAATTTTCTGTTATGAGTTAATATTCATAACAAAATATTAAACGTATTGGGGCAACGTCCAAGAACAAGCGTACGCGGCCCACTTACGTAAGGTCGATTTCGCTGTTGATGAACATATTTTTTTTTTTTTGTTTTTTAAATTTCAGCACGAATTTATTTATTTACAAAATTATGCTTTTATTTATTCAATTTTCGTTTTTCTTTTTGTTAAATTTTATTATACTTTTGTAGTTTTTCCGAGTCAGTTGATTTCCTAGTCGTCCATATACCACATATGCGGCGCTTGTTAATTTCGTGGCAAAAAAAAAAGAGGTAACTTAATCTATGGTTTTCAATTAAATTGTTGTACTTTCCGTACCGACGTTGTTTTCATGCAGGAAAAGAATAACACAATAGTACGAAAGTAACCTTCCCTTGCATATATACATTTTTTTTTTTAACCGCACCTTTGGTGAGCATGGTGTGTAAATTTTATATAAAATTTAACTGAAATAAAAACAACGACGATAAGGTACACAAGTTAATAATAGAAAGCCACATGGCATAGTACACAAGAGCAGCGCCCAAAAATTTTTTTTATTATCGCTCTGCTTTCTGTTATTTAATGTTCTGAAGAAACAAAACAAACGAAAAAATAAGAAGGAAAATTCTTTGTTCATTGTTCAGCATAAAATTATATACTCGAAAACGACACGCAATCTTTCCAAAGGAATGCTTAAGAGAAATTAAAAACACTAAAAAATTCAATTTTTTAAAGGTTGCAAACGAAAGAGAAATTTTTTTAAAAATATTCTTTATTAATTTCTTTACGAAAAGGCAAGAAATTCTAATAAAATAGAATAGATTATGGCTGAGTGGTGCGCTGTGGGCGATATGTGCCGTGTGTCGTGTTCCCAAATAATATGCATTGAAAATACTAAAGACACGGTAGCTAAAGGTTTACGTCTGAAATCGATTTGAGAAAACCAAGTATACCTTTGGGCGCTGAATGGTTATTTACAGCTACATTCATTCCATCATTTCATATTCTTTTTATCATATATATATATATTTTATTTCTTGAATGACTAAACTTTTTTTTAATTCTTATGAATTCTCCCTTATTGCTGACGTCTTATTATGCGTAACGGTTTCGAAAAATTCGCATTTGTTTTCTTACTTTCTCTATAGGCCGAGTATACGAAATGATTCCGTCTTAGCTGAAGTCCGACGAAGAGGAGAAGCATTGCCAACCAATAAGGGATTGCAATAAGATTCGAATAAAAGAATCGCATTAATAGCAAGCACGGTTTCGCAAGGTATTTATCCGAGTGAGAAGAGCCGCAGAAGAAAAGTCTGTGAGTAGTAAGTAATTGGCAGATTGTTAAGACATCTCTCCAAAGTTCTTACCTCCACCTAACATGGCTGAATTTCGATTTCGTCCAACATTTCCCAACTACACATCCCGTACGTAATCTTCGCGCCGATTATATAATAAACGGTTCCCTACGAATTCGCGAGTAACCCAAATATTGTTAATTATTTCAATAATAAATTGTGATCTGACTGGTTGGTTACTGATGGAAGTCACCTCGGACCAGTCGTACTATTGTGCTCAAAAAATAAAATTGCATTTGTTTACACCCTTACGTATATTTTAGTTTCATCGCTTTCATAACACTGAAAAACTATTCCTTATTAACAATTTGATCTGGCGGAAGAAAGTCATAGTACCCAACAATACGATAATTGAAGGAAGCTGTTTAATATCAACTTGATCTTGACTTGAGTTTTGAGCGTCTTTGGCGCCGTTTCTACAGTTTTGGCTCGATATTCGCTAAATTGATCGACTGTTTTTTTCGGGTCGTACGCATGAATCCAAGTCTCATCTTTTATAATAATGCCTACTTGGCAGCTTCTTTACTCAACAAGTTCACACAGAGTAAAAATTGGCAAAAAGGGTTTTTGTGTCGCACAAAACCAAAAGCGTTGCTAAAACACAAAAATTTGACAAAAATGTCTCGCACAGAGCTATCAATTTAGAAGAAAATATGTATTTGAAAATAGATTTTCGAGATTATGAAAAAATTCAACTTATTTTGCGGACACAGTATTATATGATACAGAGATCAATTTATGATCTCAACGATGAATGGATCGAATTTCAGCACGAGCTGTGTTGTTCGTTGGCGATTTTGAAAGTAAACGATAAGAGTATTAGATGAGAAAAATCATTGTCGAAGCGGCCGCACAAGGCTGAATTGCTCTTAAAGAACTTTGTACCCTGATAGTATCGGTGAAATGG